TAAGAGTCTGTCTCTGTCCCGTCTGTTGTTCCCTGCCACACACACACTTGTGGTATATATATATATATTTTTTTTTTCAGCAAAAGAAAAAATGAGGAAGAGGTTTTCAAGTTGTTTTAAATCTACAAATACTACTGAATGTATTTGTAGAAGAATACGAACTTTGTTTAATAAGTAACCAAGGAGGAATACAAAAGAATAGTATCAATTAGTAGGAAAAAAAAAATATCCTGAATCTTGCATAAAATGTATATGGCAAAAACTAAGAAAGAAACAAAGCAAACCTTATGACTATTTTGAAACTGTTTAGAACTAAAGTTAGAAGGAAATTGCCTGTGTCTAGATTAGAAGAAGAAAAAGGCAAAAAGTGTTTTGCCACCAGTGTGGGGAGGGGATAGGAATGTTATGTTCATTGAGAAAATATAAGTGAAAAAAGGCAAGTGTGTATTTAGTTAGTTAGAAAGAGCTGGAGTAACATGATCCTGGCATGATAATTCAGGTTTCCTACAGCAGGAAAAAAAAAAAAAAAAGATTGTAGGATACTGCAAGATCTCACAAATGAAATTTATCTCACTTTTGGTAACCTTCAACAAGTTGTAGAAATAGAACTTAATGAGAACAAATAGAGATACATTTCATTCTAATTTTCAACAAAAGTAAGCATAATTCCTCAAATGTAGGCTATTAATTTCTAGAAATATTGGAAACTATTTGAATAATGTTTGAACTCACAGAAAAGAAGATGAAAACTGGGAATTATCAAAGTTTCCCTTACAAAGGCCATTGTCACATGTGCTGTCCCTTAGGCTGTTTGCATTTGCATTGCTTATATCCCAAATGGCTACAGACTGCCTTTCTTCTGCTCCTGTGTCCCCAGCTTCTACTCTTCCTGGAATCCAGTGGGAAACACTGGTTGGGGGTCGGGATGGGAGAGATGAGGGTRTGTAGGGAAGAGGTGAAGAGATGTCAGGGTTAGTGTGCTTGTGCCTTCCACTGGGCACCTGGCCTTTGGCTTCAATAACACTTTTATCCTGTTTGTCTCACTCTGGCTTTCTGCTGGTGCTAATCCCTGAGTTGCCTCAAGCTTGCTGTTTAGTCATTTTAGTTGTTCATGACCTGTGTAGCAACCTGTTCCCTACATTAAAGTCCCTCTGCTAGGTAGGCTTTTAAGTTGTTTCTGTTTGCCTAGTTAGACTCTGACTAGAAACAGGGCAACCTTATTTTCTATTTGGTATGGTTATAGTTATAAAGCAGACTTAGAGAATGCTGTTGGCATACTCTATCTAGATTTCAGCAAGACTTGACAGATACAACGTCCATGTGAACAAAATGGAAAAAATTTAGACTGGATTATTAAACATTCTTAGATTCTGAAGATTATTAATATTTAAGAAGTACCCAATGAAAGGGATCTAGAAGTACCAGAAGGCTCTGTCCTGATCCATACCCTACTCAACATTGTTGCCCAAGATTTAGACAAAGACACAGATATTTAAAAAGAAAAAATGCAGTTCTATCTAGGTGCAGAGATACAAACCTATAATCCCCGCTACTTGGGAGGCTAAGGGAGGAGGATGGCAAGTTTGAGGTCAGCCTGGGCAATTTAATAAGATCCTGTGTCAAAAGAAAAGTAATTATAAAAGTCTGGGGATGTATCTCAGTGGTTAGAGCATCTCTGGGTTCAATTCCCAGTACTGTTAAAAAAAGAAAAATGTCTTGCCTCTAGGTACAAAATATATATGAGAAGCCAACCAGTATATTATGTGGGTAAATAAATCTGGGAATTTTAACTGACCACAAGTTCAATACAGGCCAGAAGTGTGATATTTTTTTTTTAAAGAGAGAGAGAGAGAATTTTTAACTATTTATTTTTCAGTTTATTTTTTTTAATGTGGTACTGAGGATCGAACCCAGCGCCCTGCACATGCCAGGTGAGCGCATTACCGCTTGAGCCACATCCCCAGCCCTGTGATATGTTTTTAAAAGAATTCATCTCTGCACCCCATTGAAAATGTCCCTGCCAACTAACAAATGGTTTTATTTCTCATCTGATATATTATGACAAGACTAGAACATAATTTATGAAAGACATTGCTAAGATGAAGTGTCCATTGTCCTCAACCCTGGTAAAACTTTGTAACACGTGCAGGTTGTGTTTGCCCACATTTCTTCACTTTTACCTCACAGGAGCCCCATGAAAGTTGCACCAGTATCACATTTCTCACCTGGTATTTCCTCCTGTGGGTTCAAACTCCATTCCTTAGCTTATTGGGTGGCTTTAGGTAAGCTATGGTAGTTGGTCAGGAACCCAATTCTTTTTAGTAAAGCCTGCTCTGATTTCAGCAATTAAGACTAATGGGATAGTCAAAATTTTGCTCAGTATTTTAAAAAGAATTTAAACAGAACTGCTCTCTAATAGAGTAATAGACTTAATGTCTTTGTACAGAAGTCGGTTCACTAACTCTTGGGAAGTCTTTTAGTAGTGGGAATTCCTTCTTGGGGAAGGTTATGTTAGATAGCCTCTGGAATGACACCCAACTCTAGAGTCTGATTTGGCTTTTAGATAGTGATATAAATTTGTGATTTGTGGTTTATAATTCAGAGGTATTTGTTTTACTTTTGTATTTCTGTCTCCAGCAGTATAATTGTTCTCTCTTATAGTTTAGGATTAACATACTGTATTTGTGAAAAAATTTTCAAGAGCCTGAAACGAGGAAGTAAAGCTTGACTAGTGTTTGGTGTAATTACCTACCCAAGAAATATTATGCTATTTCCACGAATATGTCCCCAGAGTGAATGTCTGCATGTGTTCCATTTCATTCTTAGCTGTAGAATTCTATCAGGGATGATGAGGAGAATCATTTTGAAATATATTGAAGCAGAGAATAGAGTTTGTGAAGTATTATTAGGTTTGCTAAGTTGATCCTGTGCAAATGCAAACTGTCTGCATACCACTGTAAAAACTAGGACCTAGATGAGAGAAGGGCCCTGAAATGCTCTATTAAAGGCCACCAGGGGGGCTGGTTGAAAAAATCATAAAATTTACCTTAAGGATGCCTTTCTAGCCTTCTTTCTAAAACTAGTATATTCTTATTAGACCACCTGGAATAATTATTCATGATAGGCTAGGATAGGCAAAAAAGGAAAATTAAAATTACTTTAGAATTGATTCAAAATCAAATTCTCTCATAAGAGTAAAATATGCAGGGAAAATTAAATATGTTGGTATTTCAGAATTAACATTTTGCTTTTGTGTTATTTCTGATTAGGTTTAATAAATGAAAATTCTCAGTCTTTGTAGTCAATAAAAGTTACCTTACATATGAGTTTCTGAAATAGATAGCTCCTTGATATTTCAGATCTTTCCTATGAATGATCTGAAGGGCTAAGCATTCTTGTGATGTTTCTTTTTTTTCCCCAAATGCAGTATCTGCCTCTCCCCCATTCTCCAGTGTTTTCCAAGTCTCACTAATCATAACATTATTCTCCCGGAAAGGTTTGAGATGCATTGAAAGTACAAAAATGAAAAAAAATGAGACAAAAGAGCATCTGATATTTAACTCAGTGTATTATCCATTTAAAAAATGAATTTAATGAAAATGAAAACTTGCCATTTGGTTTTTTTTAAAACAGATTGGTTTCCTACTCATGTACTTGATTTTGTACTGACTCAGCAAGCCTCAATACTCTTTCCCCTCTAAGTTGCTAATGCAAAGTAAATAAAATTAGTTATGGCTAAGACATCCTATRCTGCCCTTGACCAAATCGGCACTATCAGCCTCTTGATAAATTACTCAAAGGCAGAAACCTGACCTGATTGATTTTTATACCTTAAGCATCCTACTTGGCCATGGCATTTCGGAGCTTGCACTTAGGTATTTATGAATGAAAATCCAGATATTGAAAGTTAATTTTACAATAAGCTGCATTTACTCCTCTAGAAAATAGACTGTGATTGAAGTTTCAAGGTACCTATGAGCTGGAGAGGAAGTTGGCAATTTTCCCCTTAAATGTCTTAAGTGTGAAATGTTGTGAGTTTTGATGGAGAATTAAAAATTTAACTAGTTTGGGACCAGATGTGTTTTGCATTCAGAATTTTTCAGATTCTAGGAAAATGATACAGTAGATACATCTTACTCTATGTAATGTCCACAGTGCATATTGAAATGAATGAATATTCTGATAGCTAAAACATATGAATTGTCATTAAGTGAGTTAAGACATTAAACGTTTTCATGTTGGTTTAKGGCAGAATTTATAGCCAAGTAAGTTCAGATCAGATTGAAATTTCTACCAACTGAGTTAAAAACAAATCACATGAACAGAAATCCCCTTTGTTTTCAGAGCTTTTGTGGTTTTAAGTGAGTTTTCTGTCAGCATTTGGGGACCTATAATGTTTTATTCTTCTATTGAAACTTTTTGCAGTGGTTCAGTGATCATTGTGCCATTTCCAATTTCAACTGGATTGGTAGACGCTCCTGCCATTCTCCTTTTCCCTTTAAGGATACTAGGAGGGCAAACATCTGAAGGGAGTTTTGGGATAAGTAAGCCCTGAAAGTACTTGTCTCACATAGACCTCACAAGATCCTCTGGAATAGGATCATTTCCATTTTACAAAGGTTACAGGGAAGTTTGGAATGAAGTGACTCATCCCACACCACAAAGTTAATGAGCAGCCAAACTAAGAATCAAACTTGAGTCTTTTAAGTCCAAGTCCCATTCTCCTCCTACCAAATGTTATTTTCATACAAAAAGCTTCTGATGAAGCTGGAAATGATGATTCAGATATATGTTAGTCTAGAGTTTAATGATTGTATCACATTGCCTACAGAACTTTCATTTAAATCATTTAAGTTACTTTGGCAGAACTGCACTGACTAATAAAGTTTGGAGTAATTATTTTTTAAAGAGGGATAGAAGTGAAAAGTTAGCAGCTAATTTTGATTATGGAATAATGAGGATATTTTGTGGTGTTCTCCATTTTTGTTTTAACTGTTTAGATGTGCCTGGCATCAGAAGGAGTGAAAATGGATGAAACAAAGCTAATAAAAGCAAAAGAATCAGATGGTGGAAGAATCAAAGAATTGGAGAAGGGAAAAGAGGAAAGAGAGATAAAAATAGAGAAAACAGATGAAGCTGGGTTACAAAAGGAAGGAGAATTTGAAAAATCATCCAAGGAGAATATAAGAGATTCTAAGGAATTTAGAAATTTTGAGGAGCTACAAATGGATAATGTAATGGCTATAAAAATGGAAGACCCCAAAGAAATTAGAAAGGAAGAATTAGAGGAAGATCAAAAATACAGTCACTTCCCTGATTTTTCATACTCTGCCAGTAGCAAGATAATAATAAGTGATGTTCCCAACAGAAAGGATCACATGTGCCATCCGCATGGAATTATGATCATTGAGGACCCTACTGCTCTAACCAAACCAGAAAAGCTAAAAAAGAAAAAGAAGAAAAGCAAAATGGATCGACATGGAAATGATAAATCCACACCCAAAAAGACGTGCAAAAAGAGGCAGTCTTCAGAATCTGACATTGAGAGTGTCATATATACCATTGAAGCTGTTGCAAAAGGAGACTGGGGTGTTGACAAACTTGGAGAAACCCCACGAAAGAAGGTCCGCACATCCTCAAGTGGCAAGGGAAGCATTTTGGATGCCAAGCCACCAAAGAAAAAAGTGAAATCAAGAGAGAAGAAAATGTCAAAGGAGAAATCCTCAGACATCACCAAAGAGTCAAGACCTCCAGATTTCATTAGTATTTCTGCCAGCAAGAACATTTCTGGTGAGGTGCCAGASGGTATAAAAGCAGAACCATTGACTCCCACAGAGGATGCACTACCAACCAGCCTGTCAGGACAGGCTAAGCCTGAGGACAATGACTGTCACAGAAAAATAGAGACCTGTGGTTCCAGGAAATCTGAGAGGTCTTGCAAAGGTGCTCTTTATAAAACCCTGGTGTCTGAGGGCATGCTCACCTCTCTGAGAGCTAATGTTGACAGAGGTAAGTAACTGCTACAAACCTAAAAGGAACATGAAAACCAAGTGGAAGGTCTGTTTTAGACCCATTGAAAAGCATCTCCATAAAGGACAATATGACATCCAGATAGCTTCTTACATCCAGAGGGTTCTCTGTGGTATGTGGGTCATATTATTTTTTTACTTAAATGTTTGCCAGCACCATTCAGAAGAGTATATACCTGTAAATAGTTCTTGAGATGTAAATATTCAAAATGCCTAAACCCTTTCATTTTACTGGTATGGGCTGGCTCATTATTTTGATAAATCAGTATAGTAGAGCTTTTTTTTATATATACCTTTATTTTATTTATTTATCTTTGGTGCTGAGGATCAAACCCAGGGCCTCGCACATGCTAGGTGAGTGCTCTACCGCTGAGCTACAACCCCAGCCCCTAGTGGAGCTTTTGATTGGGTTAAAACAGATGAAATTTTCTAAATGAAGCAGATATATTCATCAGGATCTTGAAAATGTAATTGAAATTTTTTTTAAAACATGACAGCACCCAGAAACTTAATTGTTGTATATACCTTTATTCCATGTAAATTTACCTATCTTAAAATATAGCATCTGCTTAGGGTACTTATCTCTTGCCACGCTATATTCCACTAGGTCAGTAAGCTTTGAATGAAGATTACTTGGGAATACATAGTTCTCCTGGGATGTCCTTTCAGTGAATCTTGAGGAAATCAGAAGTGTGTATCAGCAGAGGGCTTACGTGCTTTAAGCTGGTTATCAAATGGAAAACATAGGTCTCTCTCTTGAATCCTGTGGTAATCTGTTAAGACAACGTATCCTATAAGTTATATTAGTTACCTTCTTTGCATGTTCCATTATTAAAGTCCAGTGTGAATCATCTCTGTAAGTTACAGATAGTATCAAACAAATAACACCTAAGAAATCAAGAGTTCACCTGTGAAACAACTAAGTTGATTTCTCCCAATCCCAGTGTATTGAGCACATGCTTTCTTCTTGAATACCCTTAGGTAAACGAAGCTCAGGAAAAGGGAACTCCTCTGATCATGAAGGGTGTTGGAGTGAAGAAAGCTGGACCTTTAACCAGAGTGGGACCAGTGGGAGCAAGAAGTTCAAGAAGACAAAGCCCAAGGAAGACTGTCTCCTTGGGTAAGTGCTCAGTCCACCTGCACTGCACAGACCCCCGTGTAGTTGGACGAATGAATCAGTTGTCACTTAGACTTAGTAAGCTCCCTAGAAAACAAAAATCAAGTGTATTACACAATTCCTGCTGTTAATACATTCATGTGTGTGATAACCCCATTCACATTTTAGGCACAATAGAACTTATGTAGGTTTTACACTTGAGTCTGAGTGTAAATCAAGGTCCACCATATAAGCAGTGGTGGTATTATAAATCCTTTAATATCACTAGGACCCTTTCTCATATCTGAAACTTTGGATGGATATTGTTAATATATTTACATTTTGCCCATTTTATGTATTCTATTTATAGTACTATATTTATATTCACTTAATATTTCTAAATGTATGCATATATGTGTATAAAATATGATAGCTGGAAAACATTAGGTAAATAAAATTATGCTTCTGTACCTCTAACCTTGATTAGTTCAAACCATCTTCTGTTGCTCTAAGATCGAAATATTAGATTGAGAAGCTGGGGATGTGGTTCAGTGGTAGAATACTTGCCTAGCTTGCAGGAGGCCTGGTGTTCCATTCCTAGCACACAAAAGTAGAAAAAATTAGGTTGAATATTCTCATGGTACAAAGGACATTCAAAGCATTAACTGTGCATTGAAATGTAGTAGTAAACAAGTATACATCAAGATAAAATCATGAAGAATCATTTCATACTTATTTTATGCCAAAGTCTTGCAATAACAATCTTATTATAAAGCATTTTGTTAATAATATGTAAGATTCAGTGCTTTGTATTGGTGAGGAAAGTATCTGCATATTTGGTTGTACTGTTTTGAAAATCCTTTGAGATTTCTCATTAGCACAATTTGAAAAGACTACATTGAATGGAAATAATTCTCTGTTTTTTCATAAGTGCTTAAAAGTATGCAAATTTTATGCATTTGGTGTATTTTATTTTATTCATAATATTTGCATTTCTATTTGTGGAATAATATAATATTTTTCCTCAGAAATTACAGTGCTTTAAAGTCTGGTTAATTCTAAGACTCTAGGTCATCATAAAGTGGGAGGATGGAAATTATTTCTCATGGTGCTGGCTCCTCAAGATTATTTATATTGAAATAATATATTTATAATTGTATATATTTCATTTCTAATATTCTAAAAATCCAAAGTACTTCAAATTAGTTTTGCTTATATTATGCTTAAGTAATGACATGAATTTCCTCCCATTTGTCATTATCAAATGATACTTTCAATGCAGAATTTCCGAAAAAGTGATCATTGAGCTTTTAAACCACTGTTTTGTATCTTCTAGAATAGCTGCCAGTGCCTTCTGAGTCTAAACAAAGAGAGGGAAGCAGGTCTCGTTATAGAAGTGCTAGGTGAAAAAGCCAGCATCAAGGCTCCCCAGTAGAACTGACTCTGATACTTCTATTAGAAACTAATTTGAGAGAAAGAGATGTTCTCCAGTCTGGTGAGAAACCGAATAAGTTTGAAACAATGTTTAAAAATCTGTCCCCAAAGAAATGAGTATTTTCATCATTTCTGAGAAAGCCACCTGTATATATTTGAGAGTGTGGTTTTCTGGTGGTTTAAATCAACCCTACAATTTAGTGATCTTTCCTCCTTAACTACTTTTTGACCTGTCAGGATCCAACTGTTTGGTATTAACCTTGTTTGTACCATGCCAGTACAGTACCTAAGCAATGAGAAATGATGGTTCCTGTCAGTCTCCTTTGAGATTTGTAGGTGAACACTATCTTTTTAATCTCAGATAATGTACTACTTGTTTAGTTAGTTACTGCCAAGAAAAATTGAGTTTAATATTTGTAGTTCTAATTTTATAAAAGTCTCCCAGAAAAAAACATAGATGATTATCATTGTTCTCTTTAAAAATGTAAACAGTCCCAAGAGACCATGTAAGTTATGTCCTGCATTTTCACAGTTGTCTTTTATGGATATTCAGATTGTCTGACAAACTCATGACTTAAAGAAAAAAACATTCTGATAATATCTGATTAATAGCAAACTTTCTATCAGCATGAGCTTTTTTTTTCTAATTGATGAGAAAAGATGATTCTMTTGGTAGGAGTATGTCCTACCGGTTACCCTCCTGCTGCTCCACTTAGTAATGGCCATTTTCTTTTAACATTTGTGTTGGTCATCTGACCTTCTTACCTCTGCTTCACAACTCTCATACCTTCCTCTAAAACTGAGAACAGTTTTAGGTGGGAATATCTCAAGTGCATCTCATAGCTGGAAGCCAAACACATTACCAAAGCTACTCTCTTTCCATACACCTTCCATTTCCCATCTACTAGGGATAGCAGTTCTGTAGCTTTCCCCATCTGTCTCGAGAGTGCCTTAGTTAATAAGTCTCACTGAATGATATCCACCAGCCAGCCTAGGATCCAAGAGATAGGCAGCCCATTGCTCCATGGGGACCTTGGAGACAGTCAAAGCCATTCCAGGAATTCCCCAGCCTTGCCAGTGGAAGTTTTAGTCATATGTGCTATAAGTTAAAGTGGTGTTGCCTCTCACCACTTCATTGAAAACTGGCTTTACTTTTCTCATTGTGTTTTTTTCATCTTAATTTGATCTCCATTTTTTTTCTGATATTCAAATTTTATGTGCTTTGTGTGTATGTGTGTATACATGTCTTAAGCATAAAACTCATAAAACTATATATATATAAAACTAATAAGTGTCAATACATATGCATATATATGATATATAATCTTTAAAATGAAAAACTGAATAAGGTATGCTTTGTACTGAACTTTATGAGAAATTCTCATGTCAATGGAGAGTATGACAGATTCCCCACTTCAAACATATTCTAATATTTTAAATAATGTTTCTATTTTTCTAAGGTAAGGATGCATCTTGTCATATGAGTTTACAAAGAAAACTTGGTAAATTCAAGCATGTCAGAAAATGTAGATTTTTTTTCTTTGCACAAAATTTATTTAAAATGCCTCAATTCCTAGGGATCCTGTTTTCAAATGCAATATCTTAAAACTATGTCTTGTATCATTTTTTGTTTAAGTATTTGGTCATGTGCTGATTGATTCCTCTCCCCAATTTTAATAGCTCAGTAAAGCTGGATGAAGAATTTGAAAAGAAATTCAACAGTCTCCCTCAATATAGTCCTATTACATTTGACCGGAAATGTGTACCAGTCCCAAGAAAAAAGAAGAAGACTGGAAATGGGTCCTCAGAACCGTCTAAAACCAGCAAAGGTGAGCCTTCACCTGTACCTCCCTGCAGTGTGGTCAGACTCTCAACCAGCCCCTTGGCTAAGCTTCTGCAGTTCCCTTTAGATAAGTACAGTAATTGTATTTAGAATTAAGGCAGTAGGGAGTCACAATTTCTGCTTGCTTTTCAAGATTATCTTGGTCCCTGCCTCCCTTTTTTCCTCCCTCATTCTTCTTCACCTCTGTCCTTTGGCATCTTAGTCTGTACATTGCCCTTAAAGGTGTATCCAGCTTTTCCAGATGTGTTTTATACAGTCTTCAACCCTCTGCTCTCCAGAACTCTAATTTGGAATGTAAAACTTTCCAGAAACTGCTGAATCCAACCAATTCTTGTCTTCTTGAGTCTACAACAGGTTGGGCTCTGTACTATAAAATCATTATATTTGCCTGATTAGCAGAAGCTATTCTTCACTGGCAGTATGGACCAAATGAAAATAAAAGTACCTGCAATACTGCAGTGATATATATTTTACTGGTTTTGTTAAATTTAGAAAAATGCTTTATTTAGCATATTTATTTTCAAGAATTGGTTTCTCCCTATCTGGCTACTGTATTTTATTTATGTTTTTTTTTCTCCTGGTACATGTTAATCAAGTGTTTTATCATGGAGCTACATAACCCAACCCCTTGGCTTCTCCCTGTCTCCGTAAATCTCTTACAATTATCAGCATGATTTGGCAGATCTCAGCATGACCATTCAAAAAAGGATTTTAAAGAGTGTGGGGCATTTTCAGTGGTCTCAATACCTGAGACTCCTCTTGACATTTGTGGGATGGTGGTGAGGTGCCAAACATCCTTCTTTGCTCAGGACATTCCAAGCACAAGGGAGATTGTCCTCTATCCAAAATGATAATATTGCTGTCATTGAGAACCTTGTCTTCCACCTTGACTTTAGGTCTGAAGATTGGTGGAGAAAGTATGCCTCCAGTGAGCTGTCCTTTAGGGACAGAAAATAAATGGAAGAATGGTGTGGTTGAGCTACAGCTGCTTTCAGGATCAAATTCTGAGCAAGATTTGATAGAAGAGTTTTTGTAATTGTTTTGCAGAAGTGGCTGTCTGTTTCCTGCTTTGTRTTAAATCAGATTAATTCCTTCCTTTTGTGTATGTTAGATAGATCATATATAAATATTAATGGAGAGATACAATTTTGTGGATTTTTGAGGGGATCTTTAAGGTATATGGATGAGGGAAAATTATGATATCTTCTAAARATAACTAAACTGTTCTCTCTCAAGACCTAAGCATTCTTATGAATTGCCACAAAGAGGGTTGCTCTGAGATCTGTATTTCGGGACATCATTGAATGACTGGTGAAAATTCCCCCTTTGGGATTAAAGGAAAGAGGAGTTACACAAAAGTCATTTTTAGAATTAGCTGTTTTTCTCTATGGTTAATACAAGTAAGACTAGTGAATAAAGTACTGGAAAAGGAAGTATTGTTGCATCAATTGGTTTGCTCATCTGGGAAAATAAAATAGCATTGTATCAAGGTCTTCCAAAATGGATAGGAAAAGAAATAAAGTAGACATTGACAGGTAGTAGCTGAGCACTGAAATGGACTACCAAATGAAATCGCAGTCTTTATGCTCTGAAGAGATTTAGGAATAGGCAAAGTAGTCTGTTAGCCCAAAGATACCAGCTACCTTGAGCTCCCATAATTCTTGGATTTAAAGTTGCTGATAAATACTTGACAAGCCAGTAAAACGGAGCCTAATTGATTGATGTACAGGATGCTTTCCTTATCCCCCTCCTTGTAGTTCAAGACATTCATTTTATTGCTCTGAAGTTGGCCAAATTATCTATCAGGGAAGGTAACATTAGATTTATTTTTGTAAAGCTATAAAGCCCTGAAGTTAGAATCTATTTTCATGAAACCTTCTCTTGGGTCTTAGTTGTCCATTATGTGATTTTCTTCTCTCAGCTGAGATTAATAGTATTTCTTTTGATGTGACATAGCATTTCAGAAAATGCTACTTCATACAGTATCATCTTGTCTCTCTCAGTATGCCTCCCAAGCCACAAAGTCACTGGTTCTTATCCGGTATATAAATAATAACATATGGGAAGTCTTCCAAGACTTTAGATTTTGCTCTGCATTCTGTTTCATGAAGTAAACTGCAATTAAAACAAAGCAGAGATTAAATAATACATTCTGTATTTAACAAACTAAAGAAATAGTATTTGTGACTGATTGTAATTTGGCATTAGCAACACCAATGTACTATGCTACAAGTTATTAATGAAATTATCATACAGCTGTGCTGTAATTGCCTGATCTTTAGGGGATAGATGAGATTGTTTTCTTCAACTGTAGACTCTTTACACCTTTGCATAGTGAATCATCCAAAGCAAGCACTGTGTATGGGAACATTAGACGGATTTGTATCCTTAGGAAACTCATTTTCCCCTAAAAATTTGCCATWGGTCCAGTTTTATTTTCTTTATACTGTCATTCAACATTCATTATATTTTTTCATGGTTTATACTTAGTAGATTTTTAGATAACTTTGGCTTATCAAATGTACAGAATTTTTCTGAAATTTAATTTTTAGAAGAAATTATTATTTATGCATTTATGCAGTTGTGTATCTCAGAATCATTATACTTATGTGGGTTTATTCCTCTATCTTCCCATTGGTCTTCTTGTTCATATTTGTTTTTCTCAATAGTTTCTTTTTTTTTTTTTAAAGAGAGAGTGAGAGAGGGGAGAGAGAGAGAGACAGAGAGAGAATTTTTTAATATTTATTTATTTATTTTCTCGTTCTCGGCGGACACAACATCTTTGTTGGTATGTGGTGCTGAGGATTGAACCTGGGCCGCACGCATGCCAGGCAAGCACGCTACTGCTTGAGCCACATCCCCAGCCCTCAATAGTTTCTTATCCATTACCATTGTCTTTTCATTGTTTGTGCCCTGTCCCTTATGTCTATATAATAGATCTTGGCAAAAATAAAAACTTTTGCCAGGAAAGGGATAAAAATAACAAAGTGCCATCTTCCTCCAACTGGGTTTGTGCTGTATTATGTTGTTGGAGAACTAGAATTTCCCTTCACTTCTAAGAACAAAATTATCCAGTAAATTATTATTGACCTAACACACTGCAGTTCAGTTGAAGTAGCCCAGTTTGACATTGTTTTCAATCTGACATCGTTCTCTTGTAATTATTTGTTTTTAAATGAAAATTTTAAATGATGACCCTAAGTTTAATTGTAACTTCATAAGAGATTTGTTTGACACGTTACTTTATGTATATTCCTGACGTGTGAAGCCTTGTTTCCAAAAGCATCAGAAGTCAAAGTTCTGTGCAAAATTGTAATTTTTAAACAAAGTAGGGTCTTGGAGGAAAAAGGAAATTGAGGTCCATTTAGGGTGTTTGATAATGCCCCATGCCCCATCTTAACCTTTGACTTAACTTTTCCTCTTTTATTCCTTCTATTCTTATGTAGTTCATTGACCTTTAACAAATATACTATGGTTTCTTTTTATTTTTTTTCAGTCACACTTTTTAAAAAAAAATAATTTGTTTTAGCTGTAGTCGGACATAATAGCTTTATTTTGTTTTTAYTTGGTGCTGAGGATCGAACCCAGGGCCTCACACAAACTAGGTGAGCACTCTACCGCTGAGCCACAACTCAAGCCCCTTCAATCACACTTATTGTAAGATTGAATTTTTTTTTTAATCACAGTGGTAATAAAAGAAGCAGTTTCACAARTCAAAAGTTGAAAACAGAATATTCCCTGTTTGGGATTGAGTCAATGAGGGGATGCTTTTCGTCTGAGAGAACTAAGATTGGCTAATAGTTCAGCCAGCCTTTCCAACTAGGAAGTTACAGCTGTTTGGTTAGGAACAGTTCTTCATTTTGTTCTAGAATTGTTTTGAGAATCTTCATTGCCATCACACTTTTTTCAGGAACATGGTGACAACACATTTGTAATATGTTTACTCTTGYAATCTTGAGATACTTAACAAAGCATGCACATCCAGCCCAAGAAGGTAGCTTTTCTGCCTTAATGAATTTTAATTTCATTGTGGCTTATACACTTCTGAGAACTTATGCATGTCAACAGATCCACATGCTCAGCAGCTGGATGCACTTTGATATAAATGATTTTAAAGGAATTTATTATTTCATTAGTTTCTCTTTATGTGTTCAAGACAGAAATGGCACCCTGATCTTCGACAAAACCCTTGCTCTTTTTGTAGGTTGAAAACATGAAACTATAGAATCTGGGGGAAAGCCACCACCATTAGAATTATGTATGACATTTGTTTATGACAACAGTTCTAAAAAGCGGGTTCACTTAATTTACTTTCCTGCTGACCTTAAAAAATTACCATACCAGGTTAACAATGGAAAGGCTTCTATGTCACTATACAGTCTTACCCCCCAAAATGTCCATTTTCAGCAAGCTTTGAACAATGTGTTTTGGAAAGGTTATTATTGACATGTCTATGGCAACCTGTCACCCCCTTGGCTTGTTTTAGGCCCTATTTTCTACCCAGCTATTATGTTGGAGGGCAAAGGAAAATATAGGCCATCCTGCCCAGGCACTCAGAGACGGGCCTAAGCCAGTTTGCATACCAGCAGTGAGTGATTTTATCACAAGGACACTGAAGTTGATCTAAATATTCTCTCAAGAACTTTGGTAGGGAAAGAGATGAAATGGAAGCTTGAGGTAGTAGAGTTAAAAAACTTCAATTCCTGGTTTTCTGAATGATTCTTTCAAAAACTCTTTTCTCTCCTTTTCACTTTCACCTTTTCCTGTCCTCCATGGACACTTCTGTGTTAATCTAAATTTATATTACATTTAAAAGATGGTAGTAAATTTCCTTTATTTGCTATTTGTTATGAATTTTTGACTTAATTTTCTTTAGACAACATTTCAAACATACATACCATGCTGGTGAGCAGAAATTAAATTGTTCACTTCTTGACTCCAAAATTACTGCTTTTCAGTAAATATGATTAGATATTATATATTACT